CACTGGGCGGCTTCCAGCGTATAAATAATAATAATAATAATAATAATAATAATAATAATAATAAACATTAGTCTGAATTTTTAAAAAAGAAATCATAATTGTTACTTTCAAACTTTGGCGTGGGTCTTGATCCAGCACCTAGCATAGTGGAAGCTGCAGTAACTGATTTCAGTAGATCATGGATTGTATCTTCCCTTACAAAAAAGGAAGGAAATAAAAATTAAAAATTAAGAAAGGAAGACAAAGAGAAGGTACTTAGCATTCTCTCTCTCTCTCTCTCTCTCTCTCTCTCTCGTCTTGATGCTGAACACAAATTGTTATATACACACAAGCAGCAGTAGCCATATAAACAGAAGTCAAGGAAGGAGAGATTTCATGTATAAAAGCCAAGTGAGAAATTACCCTTTTTGTTTCTTCGCATTGACATTCTGTTTCAGAATTACTGCTTGTGGTCCCATCGCCACATGGACATTGCATAATGGATGAGTTTGTGCTGTCAGAGGCAGCAGGTGTTCTAACAATAAAAAAAGAGCCGGTTATTGTTTGAGCCAGCATCTCCACGCCGCATGCCCTGTGAACAAAACCTCTCCTGTATCTGGAGCAGCAGGGAAAAATAAAAGCAACAGACCAATTGCCACTTTACCGCATTACAATCTTAATTGGATGTTCCAGAAATAAATTGATGTGGGTTTTCACCCCAGCTCTGTTTATGTAGAAATTGATTAGTAATCCAATTTCATCTAGAATTGCATGGTTTGTCACAGATAGGTGCTGTCGGCAGATCAGTTGTTTTAAAAAAATTATTTCCAATTATTGCATCGGTGTGTAAATTTGTGCTCAAGAGAAACCACCAGCAAGGTAATTGCTTTCAGACTTACTTTTCTGTTGGCTAAAGTCTTCTCTGTATACGTCGGCCACTGAAAGCTAAGTATACTGTTTGCTATTGCTAACAGATTTCAGAGGGAGCAAGAATGCAGATGAAAAAGAAATCGCAAGCATTATTATATATTTCTTAGCCTGAGGACCAGTTTATGCTCTTCTGTCTGCAGATGATGTAAAGATGGCCTTCTGTGTAATATGGGTGGCGCAGGCAGGCTCTTCTATGCTTAATTTATGTGATGTGTTCTCACATTTTTCAGGGCAAACATGTGGTTTGCCTTGTTGCTTCATATCTCCGATATCAGAGAGGGCTAAGTGAGCCGAGAATTCCCATATTGTGAACCATGTGCTTCAACCCTAAGAGAGCGGATGTTTTGAGATGAACCATGGCAGAACCTGAAAACAAAAGCTCACCATGGTTTGTTTATTTTTTAAAAATCACTTTATTTGACTTGTGTAACTTCTGTCCCTTGGAGTTAAGTTTTAAGTACAAAAAATAAAGAAGTATAGTGAGAACCATAGTAATAAAAGGAAAGGAAAATAACAGGGCCATTAGTTGGATATTTACTGGTAGCAGCAAGCGTTTGGAAGGGTTTGAGTGGAATTTCTTTGGTAAAATTGGTACAATAAAGTGTGGGAAATTGCCCTTGCTGAAAAAGTTTACACAAGAACTATGTATAGCAACAGGACAGAAAAACAGGACAGAAAGAAAGAAAGAAAGAAAGAAAGAAAGAAAGAAAGACACATTTACGGTGAAATGGTGAAACTTTCTTGCTTTTACAAATCAAATGGATTATTATTATTATTATTATTATTATTATTGAATTTATATACTGCCCTATACCTGGGGGTCTCAGGGCGGTCACAGAATAAAATCAAAATATAAAACCACAAAATACATAATAAAAATAAAAACAGCAACCCAATACCCTCCCCCACAAAAACACATTTTAAAAAGACATCAGGTCAACCAAAGGCCTGGTTAAAAAGGAACATTTTGTATTCTTATGCATATCCCTACAGCCAGAGGAGCTGGAAACTTGCTTTTTCTTTAAAACACATGAACTTTCCCATATATTCAGATACTCCTTGGAGACCCTGCTTCGAACCCCCTTACCCTCAGGTGGGTGAGGACCTGAGAGAGGACCTTGTTCATTTTGTGGTGCTCTTGCTTGGTGCTGAACTGGAAATTCTTCTGGAAAGGCAGAAATCTTTTTACTTACTAAGGCCTTTTTGTTCCTGAGTCTTAAAGCACTGTTTATAACAGAGGTCGGCAACCTAAGGCCCATGGGCTGGTTCCGGCCCATGAGCTTCCTGGAACTGGCCCACGGCCATTCTGTGGATCGGTGTGGGGATTCTGTGAAGAGCGCCAGCAATAGCTTGAGTGCACGCATGGGTGCGCATGCTCCGGCCCGAGAGGTCTGCCGGGGAGTGGACCTGCCCGGCCTCAAAAAACGTTGCTGACCCATGGTTTATAACAAGGCTTGCCAATGTGGTTCCCTCATAATGTTGTTGGATTCCATCACCCACCACACCTAGCAAGCATTGCCAGTGGTTGGGCATGATGGGAAGTGTAGTCCAAATTTTTTTTTGAAGGCACAACATTGACTAAGCCTGGTTTTTACCCTCCCCTGCAAAAATCTCCCAGGTCCTGATCCAGATTGTCCCCCCCTGGGTGTTTCTGAAAGAAAAATATTGCACTGAATGAAAACAGCAACATAATTAGTTTTCTGTCCCAGAGAATTCGAGTCAAGCAAGGGTAGAAGAAAGGAACAATTGATTCCATTTTAGAGAATGAAACCAAAGCGGTTTCCAAAAGATCACACAAGAGGTTTGTGGTAATGGCATACAATAAGTACCAAAAACATGCTCCTTTATTCCAAATTACCACCAAGTATTTACTGCCAAATTACAACCAAGCTATTGTGATTCAGCAATACTGGTTAGAGGAAGGGCCCCTCAGGAATCGGAAATAATGGTGTATTTTATCTACTTGTTGTATGGCCATCTTTTCAGATGGCTTTATGGGAGAGGGGATGAAATTGAGCAGGGACAAATAAAGTGATCTTCTGTGGAAGCTTACTTTTTTTGCAAACTCTCCCTATAAATGGACTAATTTTGTGTGGCAAGCAACCTAATTCTCAAAGCTGTTCACCAGCAGAAATTGAGCAACGGGAGCTCACCCCGTCGCGGGGATTCGAACCGCAGACCTTCTGATCGGCAAGTCCTAGGCTCTGTGGTTTAACTCACAGCGCCACCCGCGTCCCTTACTTCATAGTAGTTCTGTTGAATAAAATGGAAGAGTTTCAGGGCCCTTTCAGGCTCCCGGCTGCCCAGGTGTACTCTAGGGTTAAACCGAGAAATCTGTGGATTTCAACCTCTCAAATGTCTTCAAGATAATCTGTGGAGCTATTTTACTGTACTGTAGAATTCTCTAACGAAAAAGCCATCTTTGCTTGAGGCCAAAATGCATCTGTTTTGACCGTTTTGCTCTAAACAGAGCCGTATGGGACCTATTTAGTGCAATTGAGCAGATAAATGGCTGTTTTTATCAAGCACAATCCCCGTATCCTTTCTAGGACAAACGATCTCTTCATGGCTGTGTTTCACATAATGCAATCCCCTTCCTTCCTCGCTTGCTATCCATCTCATGTAGAAACCAAATAATTGCCTCCAGGAGCAAGCCAAGGTCTCATTAAGCTTTGGCACTGCCCAGTCAGTTGGCTTCCAATATGTGGCGGGATAGGAAAAATTTCACCTGGGGACATCATCTGCTTAGTTATTTGTAACCTTTTGCTTTTCCCCTCCCTTCCTTAAGCTGTTCTGACACCTGGGGCTTGTTAGGCTAATGCAGTGGATCATGTCAAGCCTCAGTAATATGAACTGATGCATACTGACAACAATTGTGGTAATATGGCTTTGTTTAGCGGTCTGGCTTTTGGCGTTGATCTGGCGTATTGATATAGCTATCTGCGTTGTATTATATATAACTTGATTGTTTTTATTGTATTAGTGGTTTTTGTTGTTGCTGGAAGCTGATTCAAGTGAGTAATGGGGCAAATTTAGAAAGGTATCCGTTTTAAAAATATGTAATTTTAAAAGAAAACAGATAAGTGAGCTCTTTGGCTCTCACTTCAGTCTCTGGACCCCAGAAAAAAAGACAGAGGAAACTGGGTGTGTGTGGGGGACTCCATGCGTCAAACCTAGAACTAGGAAGGATGTCTCCCGCACTGCCAATCCTCAAACATTCTCCACTCTTCCACTCAGTGGTGATGGTGGGAAGTACAGTGGTACCTCGGGTTAAGTACAGTCATACCTCAGGTTGAATGTGCTTCAGATTGAGCGCTTTCGAGTTGCGCTCCGCGGCAGCCCGGAAGTAACGGAGTGCGTTACTTCCGGGTTTTGCCACTCGCGCATGCGCAGGCGCTCAAAATGACGTCACACACATGCACGGAAGCGGCAAAACTCGACCCGCGCATGCACAGATGCATCTTATGTTCCATTCAGGATGCGAACGGGGCTCCGGAATGGACCCCATTCGCGTCCTGAGGTACCACTGTACTTAATTCGTTCCGGAGGTCTGTTCTTAACCTGAAACTGTTCATATCCTGAAGCAACACTTTAGCTAATGGGGCCTCCCACTGCCGCCGCTGCACGATTTCTGTTCTCATCCTGAAGCAAAGTTCTTAACCCGAGGTACTATTTCTGGGTTAGCGGAGTCTGTAACCTGAAGCGTATGTAACCCGAGGTACCACTGTATGATGTCGAACTCAGGATGAAAGGGAAAAACGTGCTAAGAGGAAGGCACGCTTGGCAAACCCTCACCATGATCAACACCCGCCAGGAAACCTATGTCCCCACTGTGGAAGAATGTGTGGATCCAGAATTGGCCTCCACAGTCACTTACGGACTCACTGTTAAGACCGTGTTCATGGAAGACAATCTTACTTGGGCACGAGTGATCTCAAAAGAAGAAGAAGAAAGATGGGAAATGTAGTTTTCCCATGGGATCCTCCATAGTTTCCCACTCCCTATCACTCTGTTAGCCAGCAAGAAAGGAACGCTTTCCCTTCCCCGTTAATACAGTTTTGGTGCTCCTTTGGTCATAAACAAAAGGGAAGCTCCCAGTGGCACAATGGGTCAGTTAGTGTGTCTGGCTGTTAACCAGCTGGTTGGTGGTTTGAGCCCACCCAGGGATGGCTGTGGGCAGGATTCCTGCATTGCAAGTTGTCTCCACCTCCACTCTTCCCTTTTATAGAATTGTAGAGTTGGAAGGGACCCCGAGGATCATCTAGGCCAGTCCCCTGCAATGCTGGAATCTCAACACGCGTTGGTCTCCCATCCAATATGAAACCATACCGGACCCTGCTTAGCTTTGTGAACGTGCTGGCAGTTTTATTGCTGTGCCACTTGGGGAGATTGAGATGTACAGTAGAGTCAGGCAGCAGTGGCAATGGGCTGAGGTTGGAAATTCTTTTCCCACTCAGGATTTTCTTATGAGCCAGAGAAGATGTTTGGGGTGTTTGTAAAACATGCCTCTGATTTTGAAGAATGGTTTCTTGATTCCAAGCCTGAATCTGAAGAGCTTCACTATCATGTCTACCGGTACTTATTCCAGCAGGTTTGATGCAAGCCGTACTCTGTTCCCCTTCAGGCTGAAGTTCCTTACCCCTGCATTCGACTGAGTTTAGTCTCTCCGTGCTCACATGTCTTTGTTTTCCTTGGTAAACACACATTTCATGTATGTCAACTATCAGCAATAGAATCATTCCATTGCCAAGACTGAACACAACCTCTTTAAAGAGGAAAATATAACAGAGATGATGAAATCATACCGTTTGTTGTACGTGTGTAGATGACAAATTACATTGAGCTTTGGTTCTTTGATTTTAATCATGGTATCACATGAAAAGCAGCCTCTTCCTGTTTTTCTGCGTTTTATAAATCTTATCAAAGACTTGGCAAACAGCTCAGGCATCAGTAGAGAATGAGATATGCTTGTGAGGTTCTGTGTGCTCTTAAAGAGGCTGCAAAGGCAGTGCTTGCTTCAGCTAAGAATTTGAGCAGAAGGCCTGGGAAAGAGCCTCCCGTTTCTGCCCCTGGTACTGCACTGCACAAATGATTGAACCAATTGTCAGCTCTGCATCCTGCAGCTCTCCCCAAATTATCACCCTGTGTGTTAAGCATAGGAGGGATGGAGTGCAAAGGCCACAGGGCCAAGAGTGGACTTTGCAGTCTAGCATCATTTAAAGATGTTGTGTATGTGTGCAATGGATGCTTCTGATCTCTGACCATTGGGAAAGTGGACCTGAATAACTTGTGGCTAACTCGCTTCAAACAGATTTAGATTTTGGGTCATTTGCTTTGGAAAGGTTTCAGTTTGCGTCAGGGAATTTTCAGCAGCCCTAGAGCAGGAGTGGGGAACCTGTGACTCTCTGGAAGTTGCTGGAATCAAACTTCCATCATTCCCAACCACCATTGCCAAGGGTTGGGGATGATGAGAGTTTGGGCCCCTCCAAATGTTGTTGAACCATAGTTTCCTCACTCCTGGTCTGGAGAATGATGTAATTATAATCCTTATTTTACTTAGCTTTAGTAAGCAAAGCTAAATATGTGGAAATGGCCACATTTTCCCAGTTATTTATTTGTGTTTGGTGTCCATTCATTTTTGCCAATGAACTTGTGAAATGGAAAAAAAATATATATGTGAAATGTAAAGCACTGGAAAATTCTCAGGGGAAAAGTTCATTGAGTCATACCCGAGCTTTAATTACCATATTTTTCGCTCTATAAAACACACTTTTTCCCTCCTAAAAAGTAAGGGGAAATGTGTGTGCGTCTTATGGAGCGAATGCAGGCTGCGTGGCTATCCCAGAAGCCAGAAGAGCGAGAGGGATCGCTGTGCAGCGCTCCCTCTTGCTGTTCTAGCTTCTGGCTTAGCCCCTCTGTCCCTTCCCTCACCTCCTGGAAAAGCCCCCAAGAGCCCCGCACTCCCTTTCACAAGCCGCGTGGAGCGTGTGTGCGGCTCTTGGGGGCTTTTCCCCAAGGAGGGAGAAGGGCAGCCTTCCATGCACTCCACGCAACTCGTGAAAGGGAGTGTTCAGCAGAGCCTGGGATGCATACAGGCTCTGCTCAGTGCTCCCTTTAAATAATATTTTTTCCTTGCATTCCCCCTCTAAAAACTAGGTGCGTCTTATGGTCAGGTGCGTCTTATGGAGCGAAAAATACGGTACCTCTACAAAGTAAAATTTATTTTTTATAGTTTTCTCAGAAATGGGGCTTCCTGGTTTGTATTTTCCAATACTCTTTGTGTAACAACTGTATATGATTTATTTGGGCACAGATAGCCCTTTGAGTATTTATTCAAAGTAAAAATCCCCCCAAAAGTGGTGTGAACATGCTCTTAGTCCCTTTTGTAGACCTGGGATCTTCAACTGAAGGGCAGTATATACAAATTTAATTAACAACAACAACAATAAACATAGGAAAGAGCCTACCTACTTTATTAGATGTGTTAAAATGTATCATGAGTTGGCACTTCTCAGCAGATCGGTATTTTGGGGATTGTATATAATAATTATAAATTGCATGAATACAGCTTTTCAGTTTGTCTTTACCAAATGATGGAGTACTGCAAATTTGAATGAAGTGTTAGGTCAGTGTTTCCTAAAGTGATAAGGCTGTATCCAATTAATTCATATTCAGAATAGTAGACCCACTGAAGTCTTACATGGGATACAGTGTATAAGCGGAAAATAAATTTCTAGGCTGTGACTAAGGCTGTTTCAGAAGTGCCAGAAAATACTGAGCTGGAGTGCTTTATGATGAAGTTCGTTTTTGTTCTGAAAACTGTCCCAAACCGTAAGATTTGATGGACTAAACCCCACCTCCTTCTTTTACAGCAAGTTACGGGGAGAACCTTTGGTGATAAAGATTTTCGGTCTGGATTAGAAAACGGTGTTCTGCTGTGTGAGTAAGTAAAACTGCACCTTGAACTATGAGTTTTAAGTTCTTTTTGTGAAGTCCTCGTAAAACTGCACCTTGAACTATGAGTTTTAAGTTCTTTTTGTGAAGTCCTCGTAATAATAGCTATAGCGTTCAAGTTATCTGTGCTTTGGAGATAGATTTGAGGAAGATTCACACAACCATTTTTTGTTCGTTTGCTTCTTGTCGAGTTTGGTTTGTTGACCTGGCTTTGGGAATGTTTCGCCAGCTGCCTAGATGGCCCCCTCGGATGTGCTAAAAAGCACATTGTGCTATGACTTCCTAGGAAGAAAAGTTACTTTCCCAGACATTATAGTACAGACCTGCTGTTAGGAGTCATCCGACCTCAAGCCAAAGGAAACTTCTTGTGTGGAGCACCTCCAACTTAAACAAGTGTAGCCAAAGCAAACAATTGAGGCTCGTCATCAAATGTGTTGCATGCTTAGGAACTGGATGGTCATGGTGGGTTGTCCAAGTGTCCTCCAAAGTATACATGCACATCTGGTGGGAACGCTGCCATTCTTGATGTAATATACCTCTTTGTGGAATGGACGAGGGAGGCTCTCAAATATCAGCCAATATTATTTAACACGCAGGCTTCTGCTGTTGCCTAGCAAGCATTCTTCACAGCTCAAGAAATTGGCCTTAGTGTGACCAGATAGTCCACCAGGATGCTTTGCTTTGTGTTAATACATGACCATTTCCAAAGTTCTGTCATATTTAACAGGGGTTGCCAGAAATAGATTACAGGATGGGGACTTGCAGGTAAATGCTGACTCCGCTCTCAAGGGTCACATTGAGTTTTGTGGGGCAAAACCTATCTACATTATTCTGCAAGTCATTCATTTATTTAGATTAAAACTTTTTGTTAAAGTAAGTTGTACTCAGAGTAGTCTACTCTGAATATTACTCACAAAAGGTATTACGTGTACTCTAAAAATGTGCTTTGAAATTTATTTTCGATGAGAACTGCACCAGAACATTCGAGAAGTGTAATATCTTGTGCACAATTAAGTTCTAGTCTGCTCATTAGACTGGGACAGGCATAGGCAAACTCCGGTCCTCCAGATGTTTTGAGACTACAATTCCCATCATCCCTGACCACTGGTCCTGTTAGCTAGGGATGATGGGAATTGTAGTTCCAAAACATCTGGAGGGGCGGAGTTTGCCTACGCCTGGACTGGGAGATCAGAGCCGGCCCTACTGTTAGGCAAAGTGGGGAAACCATTACAGGAGGTAGCAGAAAGCACAGCCCCCTTGCTGTTTCTCCTAAGCCCCCTGGGCATTCCCTCTCTTTTCAAGGACAGAGCTATGTATGCCACATGGCATTTTCCATCCCACCCCCTTAGCTGGCTGTCTCGGGTGTTGTGGAAGATGCTACTCCATCACCACTAGTGAGTTAAGATTTAACTTCCAGTCTAGTTAATTTCTGTATGTGGAATGAGGACAGGGCCAAGCAGCTAAAGTAGCATATCTCTGACGCTACCTGCCCCTAACACGCAGTAAGTTCAATTGTGGGAGTGTAATGGCAGGGTGCTACTTCACAGGTCTGAGGGTAAAAGGTAAAAGGTAAAGGACCCCTGGAGGGATGTGGGTGGTGCTGTGGTCTAAACCACTGAGCCTAGGGCTTGCCGATCGGAAGGTCGGCGGTTCGAATCCCTGCGACGGGGTGAGCTCCCATTGCTCTGTCCCAGCTCCTGCCAACCTAGCAGTTTGAAAGCACGCCAAAGTGCAAGTAGATAAATAGGTACCGCTCTGGTGGGAAGGTAAACGGCGTTTCCATGTACTGGTTTCACCAGAAGCGGCTTAGTCATGCTGGCCACATGACCCAGAAAAACTGTCTGCGGACAAACGTCGGCTCCCTCAGCCAGTAAGGCGAGATGAGCGCCGCAACCCCAGAGTTCTTCGCGACTGGACTTAACTGTCAGGGGTCCTTTACCTTTACCTTTTAAAGGATGGTTACCTGGATGGTTAAGTCCAGTCAAAGGCGACTATAGGGTTGTGGTGCTCATCTCGCTTTCAGGCCGAGGGAGCCTGCGTTTGTCTGCAGACGGCTTTCCATGTCATGTGGCCAGCATGGCTAAACCGCTTCTGGCACAACAGAACATTGTGACGGAAACCAGAGCGCATGGAAATGCCGTTTACCTTCACGTCGCAGCGGTACCTATTTATCTACTTGCACGGTTGTGCTTTTGAACTGCTAAGTTGGCAGAAG